GAAAATTTGAAACGGTCCATTCAGGAATATCTCAAAATCTCAAACGATCATGTATGTGTGAGACGATCACACGATCGAAAGAAAAACGGCGTCAGATTTGACTTGAAAATGAAGATTGCTGTCATTTTATATGTAAAGGACCAGAAACACCTCAAATGCACATGGATGAACCAGTGTTTTTCCTTCAAGCTGGTGATATGTATTTAAGATCTTCAAATTAGTATTTTTTGGATATTCTCGGTTGCTTATTTTTACATTGTCACCTTTTATATAGTACTTAGAAAAATAATTTAGTTCATTTGATTATATAGTAGGATTATTTTCGGAAGTGACCAGATAATTCTACGCATTTATAATTTACTAAACACGGTAAACACCTAAGTCAAAAATTTTATTATTCATAGTCACGATGACTGGGACTATATCATTCTACTATTTCTTTAATGTAATTATACACAATTTATCCTAATTAACGTATTTAAGGTCAAGACTAGTTCTAACAGAACATATAAAAAGTTAAGAACCCCTTTTCAAACTTGTCTAGCGATTTGTTCTTTACTCTTGAGTTCAAATACTTTTTGCTTAACAAAACGTTCGTATAATAATGCTAATAGTTACCGAGGTTTATGTAAATCATGTAAAATAAATAAAGAATTAATTAAATACAGGCGTTGAACAAAGTTCGTTTAAAGTATAAACATATAAAATACTCTGTCTAGGCCAAAAAAATATCAAAACATGTTAACTGTTGATCAAACCATCTTGTTCACTGTTCAGATAGTTTTATATAACTTTTTATTTTTTTCTATAAGGTTATTACATATTTTAGGTCATGTAAATGAACAGTTTTTACTGTATTATACCTGTGGAATATTCCATCTCCTAACCTCGTAGAGTTCGTTGGTCTCTCTCTTCTCCTGCGTCTTTTATGAATATATTGCTTTTTTATGTCATGATCAATTTTCTTCTATCCTTATTATATTTTCATACTATTTATATGCTCTCTTTCTTTGTTTCTGTTTCATTCATATATATTCTCTTTTTTTAAGTCTGAACTTTATCCATATATTGTCGATAGTCTGTAAACTAGTAGTTAATTTGTATAATGTTTTTGTAGTTTGAACTCTATTACCACAGATTAGGTATCCTATAAGTATACAGATAAAAATCTTGTTCCTAATTCGTGGTACGAAAATTGTTTTTTATGACGTTGAGCAAACGAGTAAATTTTCTTGTGCGCAAAAATAAACTCCCGTTTATAATAATAATAATAGCTCCCGTATATAGCGTTTGGCGCCTTGGGAGTAGCAAGGTACAGCTTGCTATACTAGAGCCGTTCGGTATTCAAGGAAGGTAATGTGGCTAGCACTATATGCTTCAACCGCCCATTATTACCTCAGGATTGTGAATCCCAAGTACTCATTTAAGGCTGAGTCGGTAACAGCGTAATAATCTCAATAACTTCACTCACTAGTAAAAACCAAAATACTTAAATATTATGGCATAGCCAAGATTTCAATATTATTTCAATACGATCAACATGGACGGTAACCGGGACGGCGTGAAATAAACTTAGTTGGGCAGTTCTGATTTCTGCCGTACCGAGCGCTACCCGGAATTTTAAAAATCGGTTGAAATGCACCAAGCATATATACTTGTGGCCGTTGCGGGTAGCAAATTAGGCACACTAAATAATTAAGTCATTTAATTAACTCAATCAATTGTTACAAACTAAATAACTATTACAAAAAACATAAGAATTCGGTTTCTTGGCGCGAAACGTGAATGTTGAAGGTCGAATGTCTATCCACAGAATAATCCTTCCTCTTCCTCGATTGACAGATATCAGCTGGACGGCCATTCAGGGTTGTTATTCTCCTCCCGTGGAACCAACCAATCTGTGGCGGGCACTTGCTAGGAATCCTGCACTTGCTACCTTCGGAAGTCTGCCACAGGGCTCCCCCCCAGTGAGGAAGCCACTGGTTGCGAACGGTTCTGCTGGCATACGTTGAGCAGCAAACGGTTGGCGTATGAATGTTCCTCCGCCAGTTGATGAGATGCTGGAACATATGCTGCCTTCGGTCGATCCATGGAGACTCGTTGAGGAACATTCTGGACGTCCACCGTTAGGAACTTGTCATCTCGTTCCACAACTCTGTACGGGCCGCTATATGGAGGTGTCAATGGAGGCTTCACTTTGTCGTTACGTATGAAGACATGTGTAGTCGTCTGTAGGTCGGGATGGACATAGGCGGTGCGAACTGAGTGGTTGCTCGTTGGTACAGGCCTCAAAGCTCCCATGGTCTCACGGAGTCGTTGAACAAATCGGTGTTCGTCGGTTGGGGTAGCAGTTGGAACAAATAGCTGTCCAGGGAGGCGAACTGGTGCACCAAACACTAAATCGGAGGCTGTACAGGCGATGTCCGGTTTAAAGGTGTTCCGCAGGCTCAGCATGACGAGGGGAAGAGCTTCGGCCCAGGATACATCAGCAGCGACGAGTGCAGCCTTGAGGGTTCGGTGAAAGCGTTCGATACATCCATTTGATTGTGGGTGATAAGCAGTCGTCTTTATGTGCTGTACTCCAAGTGCTGTGTTAAGCTGGCGGAACAACTGGCTCTCGAATTGTCTGCCTCGGTCTATAGTAATGGTCGCTGGTACACCAAAGCGGGATATCCATCCTTCGAGGAGCTTTTGTACCACTACTTCAGTAGTTATCTCACGAATAGGGATAGCCTCAGGCCATCTCGTAAATCTATCAATGATCGTGAGTAGGTATCGAAAATTGTCACTAGGTGGAAGTGGTCCCACAATGTCGATATGTATGTGGGCAAATCGTTCGTCAGGCATTCCTAGTGGTGTCACCGGTGTAACAGTATGACGTCCTACTTTGGCACGCTGACATTGAAGACACTCTCTGGACCACTGCTTGACTTGACGGTTCATATTATGCCACACGAAGCGTTCGGCGATCATTCTCAGCGTAGCAGCGTGTCCAGGGTGGGACTGGGTGTGGAACTTCAAGAAAACATCCCTCTGCCTTCCAGACCTCTGCCGGCGACCTTTCGCCGGCACGTACACACGTACACGTCCATCTTGGATTGAACAGTATAGGGGTCGTTCGCTATCTGGTATGACAATGTGTTGAAGGTTTAAAGAGCTTGTGGGGTCCTGCAGAGCTTCTTGTAGACCTTCATCAGTTGTCTGAGCTTCAGCTAACCGGTCAAAGTCAATGGTGATGGGTGATGTTATTGCGTCTACCTCAGGTCGTGCGAGACAGTCGGCTACAATGTTCTTTTCTCCTTGGACATGTCGGATGTCTGTGGAAAATTGACCAATAAATTCCAGCTGGCGGATCTGTCGTGGAGATTGACGGTCATGTCGCTGCTGAAAGGCATACGTCAAGGGCTTGTGGTCAGTGTATATGATGAATGGCATGCCCTCAAGAAGGTAGCGGAAATGGTGAATACCGCTAAATATTGCCAACAGCTCGCGGTCGTAGGTACTGTAGTGACGCTCCGTCTTCGACAACTTCCGTGAGGAGAAAGAAATAGGCTGTAAGTGCTCACCAACAAGCTGTTGCAATACACCACCGATCGCGGTGTCCGAAGCGTCGACTGACATGCTCAACTGAGCATGGGGTGCTGGAAAAACCAACTCGGCAGCAGTAGCTAGGAGTTCTTTAACTCTGGTGAAGGCACTTGATGCTGCTGGAGTCAAGTTGAGGTCCTGTTGCTTTTTCTTTTGGTGGGAAAGTAGCTCGGTGAGTGGCATAAGCTCTTTTGCAGCATTCGGTAACCAGCGTCGATAGAAATTAACCATCCCTAGGAAGCGACGTAGCTGTTTGTATGTTGTTGGTTGCGGAAAACTGCGAATAGCACTGACTTTAGCTGGCAGAGGCCTGACTCCAGTTGGGGAGACTGTGACGCCCAAGAAATTTGCCTCTCGTATCCGGAATTTGGACTTTTCTTTGTTGATTTGGAGTCCATTTGCTTCTAGGATCTGAAGAACTACTGCTAAGTGCTGCTCGTGTTCTGCTTCCGTCTCCGAGACTACCAGTATGTCGTCGATGTACACATATACAAATGAACACCCTCGGAAGAGATGGTCGAGGTACCGCTGAAGTGTCTGGGCGGCGTTACGTAAGCCAAAGGGCATACGTAGAAATTCGTACAAACCAAAAGGTGTAATAACAGCCGTTTTTTGTACATCTTCTGGGCGGACTGGGATCTGGTGGAATGCATGTACAAGATCAATGGTAGAGAAAATTTTCTTTCCATGTAGCTGATTTGCAAAGTCCTGAATATGTGGCACTGGATAGCGATCAGGCTTGGTAATTGCATTTAACCGACGGAAATCCCCACAAGCACGCCACTGGCCGTTGGCTTTTTGGACCATGTGAAGCGGGCTAGCCCATGGCGATTTTGATGGCTGAACAATGCCCATTTGTATAAGTTGATTGAATTCGGCCCGTGCAGCTTGTAGACGGTCTGGTGGAAGCCTGCGCGGCTTGGAGAACACTGGTGGGCCTTGGGTGTCGATATAGTGCTGGACTCTTCCAGGGTCGTCTGGTGCATCCGTTGGTCGGTCATAAGGATGGGCAGTAGATATTCCCACCTCCAACGCGCTTACTCGTCGAGACACACACGTAATGCTGCTTGGTATAGTTGGACACACAAGGCGCTTGTTTCGCATATCTACGGTGAAACCATGGTGTACGAGGAAGTCAGCACCTAGGATGGCAGTAGTGACATCTGCAACAACAAAGGTCCATGTGACTGGCTGGCCAAAACCAAGGTCAAGTGTCAACTGTTTCTGCCCAAACGTTTTAATACAGGAACCAGTAGCAGAGTATAGGCGTATCATACTAGGTTTTGAAGCAGAACATGCTTTGCGTGGCAGCACACTTAAGTCGGCTCCAGTGTCAACAAGGAACTGCAGTTTTAGGGCTTTATCTGTGACGAAAAGGCGACGTGGTGCATGGGGGGCAGTGGTTGTCATGATTACTGCGCCCCCTCTTGATCGTTTTTTGAGAAGGTACATGGTGCCCTACACTTCTTAGCTTGGGACCCAAATCTCCTGTGATAGTAGCAGTGCCCGTCAGTTTTCTCGTCCACACTTACTTTGTTGTCAGCTTTCTTGGCCAATTCCTCCAGGTCTCCATCCAGGATTGCTATGACTCCCCGGGCTTGGGGTGGTAGGCGGTCTAACCAGAGTTTCTTTAGAACCTGCGTAGAAACGTTATTTGAGGCCAAAGCTTGCATTCGGTGGAGAAGCTGTGTTGGTTTAAGGTTGCCCGAGGTCATCTCCATAAGCTGGTAAATTTTGTCATCAGCGCTACTGCCATATCTCTCTAACAGTCTAGTTTTGAGGTCTTCGTAGGCCCTACCTCTAGTTGGATTTCGTAGTATGTCGGCTACCTCTAATAGAACCTCGCTGTTTAAACTTGTTACGGTGTGATCGAACTTGCAGTCATCAGATGTTATTTTGGCTTGCCTGAATTGGGCTTCCAGGCGTAGGAACCATAGTTCGGGCTCTGTGCGCCAAAACTCCGGTGCTTTAATCCCTACACGGGCAATAACGACTTGATCGTCGGTTTGGAAGTCGTTCGTGTCGGAGGTGGACATTGCGTATCTGAATTTGTTGCACTCACACGTTCGTCGGGGTCACCAATGTGGCCGTTGCGGGTAGCAAATTAGGCATACTAAATAATTAAATCATTTAATTAACTCGATCAATTGTTACAAACTAAATAACTATTACAAAAAACATAAGGATTCGGTTTCTTGGCGCGAAACGTGAATGTTGAAGGTCGAATGTCTATCCACAGAATAATCCTTCCTCTTCCTCGATTGACAGATATCAGCTGGACGGCCATTCAGGGTTGTTATTCTCCTCCCGTGGAACCAACCAATCTGTGGCTGGCACTTGCTACCTTCGGAAGTCTGCCACATACTCTCCAGTTGGGTTATAAACTACCACTTAGCCGGAACATATAAATTAGGAATTTCATGAGTGTATATTTTGTTGAGACCAAATTTCGTCAAAGTATTAAGTCAAGATTAACGAATACAAGAGTGGATAAGCAGCAGCTACTAGACTTTTCTGTTATATGTTATAAGATAAATAACTACTTACTTACTTACTGCCATTACTCGCTGATGAATATTTGACTTGCATCAGAAGATGGTTACGCAAGGCGCATGAACTTCTCTGCGTGACTGAAAAGCCCGATATGTGATGTTATCTCTCTTCCGCACACCGGACATTCAAAAATCTCATTACTTTGTTGCCTCTTTACTTTTTGGTTGTTGTTGTTAACTGAGTTTACAATTCTTCTCCATTGTGTTCGAATATGCGCTGCTTCCTCCCACTGATTCTGCATGCTTATCCCCTTTAAGCTTTCATGGAATATATCCTTGTATCTTTTGAGTTGTCAACCCGGTTTTCCCTTACCGTTGTAGACGTAAATAAGAGATTTCTGTAAGCGGTTTTCTTGCATACTGCATACGTGGCCAGCCCATCATAAGCGGGATTTAGTAATCATGACTTCAGGGCTCTCGCAACTAGCTTTTTCAAGGACTGATACGTTTGAGACATGGTGGTAGTAATTGATTCTTAACAGTTGTCTAAGGTGTCTCTGTTACAACTTGTTTAATGCGTTCGTGTGCCGGCGGTACGGCACCCTGGTTTCGCTTCCATATAACATGGTGGGGATTATTATTGCTCGGTACACTGCAAGGTTCGTTTTTGTGCTCAGGCAAAGAATATTATAGTTAACACAATAGAAAACCCATCCCGTGCAAAATTTTTGGAACCAAAAAGGAGCCCGGCTTTTTGAGCCGGGATCCATCGAGGCGTCGCAACGTTAAAAAGCGATTGGTTGCTTGTCTATGTTGCCAAATCGTACGCCAAATGCTACCGGTACACGCGGGGGCCCGACGCCAATCATCAAAACCTTCCGTATTTCCGTATTCCCCCGGACCTCGTTTTGAAGGCTTCGTGGCGTGCTCATTTTTTATATTTTCAATGGTGGATTTTGCTTTATATTTTTATATTTGAATTATTATATTTTGATTTAAGTTTTTGTGTTTTAAAATATGTCGGGCAATATATGTCAATATTACGATTGCAGATTGCAGACTATCAAGGAGGGACATCCTAATTTAAAAATGTTTAGGTTTACATATAAAAATCCAGGTATATGCGAACGTTGGATTTTAAATTCGGATAAGCCTATCAGTTCTTAATTAATCGATTTCAAGTCAACCCAAACTACATATTTTTTGTACATTAAGTAAGGAAAAATATGGCAAAACATTTAGGTGATACATATCTATAATTTCTATTTATTAAGTTGGAAAATATATATACTTTGTGTTTTAAGAGAAGTTTGCAAACGTGTTCAGTACTAGATTTTTTCTATTTTTTGAAAATTAGGAAACTAATAAAGAGGTTTATATAAAATTTTAGGAACTAATTACGGGTTTTAAATATGTATGTCTATACATAAATTAACTTTTTTTACATAAATAAAAATCTAATTAATTAAAAATAATATCTATACCTTTAGATTTTATATCAAAATATAAATATAAATAATAAATATCAGAAAAAGAATAATACTAATATAAATATAATATAAACAGGAAAATAATCTATTTTCTTTTTTTTTAATAACTATTTTATTTTGTAGATTTTCTCACAGTGCTAGTGGGGAAATGCCCAGAAATCTCAGGGCGATTCTAAAACGTTTCAAAAGCCTTAAATTTTATTTCAATAGTTGTAAATTAATAATGTTATTTTTAATGTATTTTTGGTATTTTAATATACCGGATGTTAATAAAAAGTGGCTTACTCTAGATTGAAATTTATAATACGATTTTTTAAACAAAAATGTCAAAAGTTGATATATGATATGTCATTCTATGTAGAGTGTCATTTTCTATCGAATAAAGTAAAAAAATACCGAGGGTGCCATTTAAGAATCAAAAGTTATAGTTATTTCCCGTGAAACAGAAAAAAAAACTTTTTACAGAACAAAAATGATGTGGTAGACAGACTTTTCCTAATTGTGCCATCAAAAGAAATTTCGAACTAAGTCCAAAAGATGTTTATTTTGTCGAATATTGAAATATTTTAATGAATATAAAGAACAAAAACATTTGGTTCTTAAAATAAAAAGCAAAATTATAGCGATTGCGATTTGGTTAGGTAGTACGGAAGAAACATGTTACCCACACAAACTATTTTTAAGCAATCATTTAATTTTAATTACCACTATATCTTCAGTATTTGCAAATGGGAAGAAGTTAAAATAGATCACAAACAAAAACTAAAAAAATTAAAAAATAAGTAGAATTTTCTACCCTACAGAAATATGAATTTTACTAGTTCATTTGAGCCCGTAAATGAGATATTTAGGACCTTTTTTGTAACGGTTCTGTTTTACAATCTAGATACGCCTCATCTGGGAATGCAAAACAATTCATCCCAAGAAAATTGATTTTAGTTACTTGTTGCAAAAAATTCCTTTTTACTAGTTACACTGTTACCGCCAATCAGAGTTACAGAAATTGTTGATGCAATAATTTTACGCACAGAAACTAGCGTGGAATAACCAATAACCAAAATTTGACGTCGAATAAATTATTCGAATGTGTTGATTACCTAATTCAAATAAGCGGCATATGTTAAAAAGTTAAATAATGCATTTTTTACCTTATTTATAAAAATTAATATGGTATATAGAGTACCTAATTATATTTTTAGAAAGCCCATAGCAAGGCAAATCAAATGAAAAAATAGTAAAATACTAAATAGTGAAAACCTCATCTTTGTACCTCTACTCATAAAAAATGAGAAACCCTGTAAAACACACGAAAATGGGACATAACAATGTACATAACCCTGTACATAACAATAAATATCAAAATGAAAAGTACTTAAATGTTTTTCTCCTCTATATGTCAATACATTTAAAACTTCGTTTGATTTAACTAATTTTTAGATTGGTTAATCATTTAATTGATTTAACTAATTTTTAGATTCGACAAACTTTTATTTTGTTTCTTTGTAAAAATGAGTTTATTATCTATTAAAATATGTTTAGTGTATTTTTATTTCAAGTTAACCTATATCATATTTCCAAAAAAAGTCCAAAGATTAATGCCAAATTCAATATAATGTTCTAACTAAATATAGGTCTCTTCTAAAATAGAGTTATTGGCAACGTCGCGTCTCGTTCACGAGGGTTTCCGCACGAAATGTTAAAATTTACGTGTGCATTGATGTCTTTTGGCCGGTTCAAGTCGTTGTATTTACGTGGGTTATCTATTCGTAGTAGAATTATCTTTGGCTCAGGTAATGATTGTAAAAAACCCTGTCTTTTAATTTCCAGAATGCTCTTGAGGCGTTGTTATTTCTGTGCTGAATTTCACAGTCGATATTGGCCTTTTCCTTTTTTTTTATAGCACTGTTATGATTTTCCGGGGGAGTGCACATGATCTTAGTTTTATCGATGTTCAGCTTAAGGCACAAAGCCTCGTATGTCCATGTATATGTGTTTAGCATTTCTTGTAATTCCTGTATCGTTTTTGCAACTAGAGCCCAGTCATAGCGTATTGAAGTTTCTGTGGTGAATTTTATACGTATTTTTACCATGATACGTCATACCTATATAAAGTATAAATAAATATATTATTTAAGCACCACTTCCCTGTTCTAAAACCGCCTTAAAAATAAACAACCTCACAAATATACAAACATGACTTTCCGATTAGGTTATTGTTTATACCGCGGATTTGTGATTGTAGCACAGCATTTTATCTAGTCCTCGTTGAAAACAAATTATTTCTAACTTATCGCATTCCCCCTATTCAGTCGGAACGAACATTCTAGTTATCAAATCGTAAAACGAAACAAGCGCGGAGAAGATTACACAGAAATACTATCATGCGTCTCATTCATGATCGCCATGACGCTGGCGTGCCTCCTGCCCCCAATCTCACGCCCATTTCACGAAAAATATCGAGTTATACGAAACAAAGCACGAATAAGCCTTTCAAAGTATTAGATAATTCAAATGAGCTAGTATTAAAAGGTTTAAAAAGCATTTAATGTTTTTTTTTCTAGAAAAAAATGATCCTATCATAAAGATCGCACAAAGTGCATAAAATGACTTATCATATTCGTGGCAGCTTCACCTTTATAGTTTCTAAGTATACAACCATGGCCAAAATAATGTCTATTTTATTCATAGTTTTAAGTAGTCTTTAATATACACACTGTAAAAAAAAATGAGTGAAATTTCACTCAGATTTCACTCAATACTTTCTCAATTTCTGTCCACACCCGATTGAGTGAAATTTTCACTCTACAGAACCGAATGAATCTTCAATTCTCAGAGTGAAAAGCACTGAGTGTTTTCACTCAATCGAGATTAGACGAAAGACTCCTTTTTTACTCATTATTGTTTACCTTGAGTAGGATTTTGATCGATTTTGATAATTTATTCACTTTAAAATGAGTGAACTTGCTGAGTATTAATTTCACTCAGTATTGAGAAATATATTCTAAATTATTTTTTTAAAAGCTATATGTAAGCTAACTTGTTATTTTATAACAG